CAAATTCCTGGTGCAGGAGAGAGGTGGATTTGTGGGCTACGGTGGGGACAGTAGGCAGATGGATTGCAAAAGTGAACCCACAGTCATCACCAGCACCTGGGTTCTGCCTCACCTTCATTTTTGAAAGATAGCTTTGCTGAATAAGCTATTCTTGGCCGACAAATTTTATATTGTTTTCCTTTGAGCACTTTAAATGTTATCCCACAACCTCCTGACATCCATTGTCGCCTATGAGAAGTCGTCTGTCAATCGTATTGGTGGTCACTTGCAAGTGACAGGTCACTTTTCTTTTGCTGCTTTCAAGATTTTCTCTTTCTCTTTGTCTTTCAGCACATTTATTATGAGTGTCTGTTTGTGGATTTGCATTTTCCTACTTGGAGTACATTGAGCTTCCTGGATGTATAGACTAATGTTTTACCAAAAAAAATGTGGGATGTTTTCAATAATTATTTTTTCAAATATTTTGTTTTGCTCCTTTCTTTCTCTCTGGGGAAAAAAAAAAAATCAGCTCTTTTCAGTAATAGGACTGAGGGCTTCACTTTCCTACTGACTGTCAACCAGAGGTCAAACTAAGCTCTTAGAGATTGCCCTCAGTTCTTGCCACATGGTCCTTCCCACATAGGCAACCCACATATGGCTGCTTGCTTCTTTGAAGTCAGAAAGTTAGTGGGAAAGAGAATCTACAGCAAGATTAGTGAACTGGCTTTAAAAAGTCATTGTGCCTTCTGCCTTCTCTCTTGGATCACATACTCTGAGGAAAGCCACGTGTCACAACATGAGAACATATAAGCAGTCACGTGGGAAAGTCTGCATGAAGAGTAACTGGTGGCTTTTTGCCAACAACCAACACAAACTGGCCAAGTATGTGAGTCTCCTAGGATGGGAATCCTCCCAGTTAAGCTTTCAAATGACTACAGCCCCAGGATTGTACAGCATCTGGATTGCCATCTCCTGAGTGACGTTCCCAAGTCAGTACCACCCAGTTAAATGATTTCCATTCCTCATTACCTGAAAATGTGTGAGATATTAGTTATTATTTCAAGCCAATACATTTTGGGAAAGGAGGTCTGGTAGCACAGTGGTCATGCAGTAGTCTAGTAACTGAAAAGCTGGTGGTTCAAATCCATTGGCTGTACTGTGGGGTATCTAGCGTATGTGCAAGATGTTCAAGCCATCAGTCCTTTCATTGTAAAAGGGGGCATAAATTGTGAAGTCTAACTTTTTATCACCTTCTAGAACAAAGGCCAGCATGCTTTTTGTATAAGGGACCAGACGGTAAATATTTTAGATTCTGTGAGCCATACAATCTCGTTCACAACTACTCAACTCTGCTGTAGTAGTGTGAATACAGACATAACAAAGGGTTCCGATAGGAATCCCCTGGGTGGCACAAATACTTAAGTACTTGACTACTAGCCAAAAGGTTGGCAGTTCTAATCCTCCCAGAGGTGTCTCAGAAGTCAGGCCCAGTGATCTGTTTCTGAAAGGTTTCAACCTTCAAAACTCTATGAAGCAGTTCTATTCTGACATACGTAGGGTGGCCAGGAGTCAGAACCAACTCAACAGTAAGTGATTTACTGGTGTACAACTACTCACCTACTAGGAGACAGTGTAGTAAGTTTCAGCTTTTCTCAAGTGATTTCCGATTTAAGCTCGGCCCTTGTGAGTCTCTCTCCCCGGTCCTCTATTTAGAGTGACTTCTCAGATCTGAGGAGACTTTCCCACCATAAGTAGGTGCTACTACTGTTTCCACTTTATAAATAATGAAATGGAGGCATGGAGAGATTAAAAGACTGGTGTTCTTGGGACAGAACATGAAACTTAAAGGGACCAGGGGTTGGAACCTAGGTTCTGTGCCTGATGGTCGTCCCCATTTTCTCCCGGACAGGGCTGAGATCAGGCCCACCACTTTGAGGACTACAAAGTGGTCCAGCTATGCCCCCTCTTGACCCCTGAACTCTACTCCAGGAGAAACCTCTGCCTCCTGCAGCTGACCCTGACACTCTCTCAGGCATTCTTCCCTACCATCTGATGGTAGCATTGGGAATCTAGTCAAACCTCAACCCCACACTTGCCTGGCTGTGTGGTCTGGGACAAGTGTTTCCCCCTCTCTGAGCCTCAGTTTTTGCAACTGTAAACAGCGAACTATAATGGTAATGCAACATGTGTTCACTGAGGGCTAGTCTATGACAAATACCGTGTTTTAGGAAGCTGTACAGATAAAGAGGATGGATCCTGTCCTAGTGCCCTGTGCCCTAATGGTAGCTGTGTGTATCTAGCATGGAGGTGGGCAGTGTAGGCACTCAGGAATGGAGGGAGTCCCATGACAGGATTTGAAGCTTGGCAGCCTAACTTCTCAGGAAGTTTCTCTTTGAATGACTTTGTCCCTAAAGGATGTTCTAGTGACTGTTTTCTTGTTGCAACTGGCCACTCCAGCCTCAGAACAGTTGGCTAGGCAGTTGGTATCTTGGACTATATTTAGTTGGGGGCAATGAATGGGTGTGTGTGTGTATGTGGTGAGCCCAGGGATGTGGTGGACTGGGAGCTTCGCATGCAAAAAGCTTCAGGAATGTACCCTACAGACTCACACTCATGCTTCATAGCTGAGGTTAATGGCCACCTCCTTCATACAACCTGTGGTCATTTCCCCCGTAAACATATACCCTCCAACGACAGGATGGATGAGTCCACTCCCTGGACATCCCCCAGCCCAAGGTTAGGGACAGGATCTGATGCATCCTTGGGTCTCTCCTGTCGCCTCCTCTGAGGTCTTGTCCCGTTGTTCATAGCAACAAGGTACAGAAAGAAGTGAGGAGTTAAGACTCTGGAGTCACAAAGCTGAGATCCTTTAGGGGCCCTTTCCTAGGAAAGTAACCCTGAGCATGTCATTTTCTACATCGGTTTTCTCATCTGTAAAATGGGCGTTTATCGTGCCTACCTCCCAGGGTCTAAAGGTTTTAATTTGCTCAAAGTACTACAGGTCTGGCAATAACTGATACAGTAGCTCCCTGGAAGGGGCCACGCGCGCCCTCGAGGTCTCTCTTTGTGACATCTTAGAAGGGGTTTGAATTAAGGAGGGTGTTAAACCGGCTGGAAGGCAGTGTAAGGTGGTTGAACCGGCTGGAAAGTAAGTCTGCGACTCAGTTTCGCCACCACACATCCTTCCACTACTTCCTTTGACATTTTCCTTTTCACCCTACCCACCCTCTGCTCCTCTGCGGTCCGGAGTCTGGGGTCTGGGGCCCGGAGGTGCGAGGTCCCAGGAACTAAGATAGGTGAGGGTCTCCGGGCAGCTCCGTGACCCTAGCTGTGGCACGAAGGGGGCGCCCGAATCTCTAGGAGAACCAGGGAGTTCCCGGAAACTAGGGCGAGGCCTGGGGAGTACCTGAACTGGGACAAGGGTCTCGGACCACCGCAGTCTCCAGCAGGTGAGGCGGGCCGAGACAGTCCCTAAGACAGGGTGATGGGCGGGGCTTCCCAAGAGTTGAGGGAGGGGTCGGAGAGGGAAGGAACCGCCGGAAAGGGGCGGGGTCAACGTAGCCGCAGGGGCGTGGCTCTCGCGGGGCGGGGCAGATGGGCGGAGTCTTGATGCCGTGGGCGGGGCGTAGCGGCTGGCGCTCGCCCCCTCCCCGGCCCAGGGTGTCCCCGTGACAAGGCAGCACTCAGTCGCCGTGGGCCGGGCCCATCCCGCCGCAGCGGCCCCGGCCAAGCAGGGGCGAGGCGAGGAGAGCGCTGCGTGAGCGGGACTGGAGAGCAGCGAGGTGAGGCGCGGGCTCAGGGGGCGTGTTTGCGAGCCGGAGTGGCGGGCGCAGGGGCCGGGGGCGTCCGCCTGTTGAGGGATCTGCGCGGTAGTGTACGACGGGCGCGGGTCTGGGCTCACGGCTCTGTGGCGGGCCCGCGGGTGGGTATCTGCGTAGGCGCTGGCTGGCCTGTGTGCCCCGGGCCAGCCTGGGCGGCCCCTCCTCCACGGGGCGGTTTCCAAACAGGCTTCCTACGGGCGAGGCTCTGCTGCAGCCCCAGCCTGAGGGTTGAGCGTCGCCCCACAGGCACCCGGAGCCCCGGCGGCCTGGACTGCAGACAGACACCTGCGGGAGGTAGTGGGCACCCCCAGGAGAGCCTTGGAGGCCTGCTGGCAGGGCGAGGCCAAGATGGGGAGACTGAGGCAAACGGATGGAGAGGAGGTAGCAAGCTGACAGGCAGAGATGGGGAGGCTGGTGGGTAGAAAGACCGGGAGAAGGACGGGCAGGGAGGACAGAGAGTCATTGAGAAACTGACAGACAGACAGAGGCCTGGCCCATAGTCAGAAAGATGAAGACGGACAGATAGATTCCAAGAACCTAACAGAGAATGGGGGGATTTCTGAGGGGACGGAGCTGAAAGCTACATCCAGGAACAGAGTCTGAGATGAGAGGTAAGGGACCCCAAGTTATGGGGTGCCCCGCTGCCAAACATACCCCAGACTGGAGTCTTAGCCAAAAAGCAGCCTCTGCCAAGTTGATCCCTCCAAATATCCTCACACTCTGATGGTGCCACCCCCTCCCTCTTGGTTCCATCCCTCCATCTCCTCTCTCTGGTATCCCAGCAACTCTGGCAGTTTAGGGGAGGCTGGGGTGAAGTGGTTGTCATAGCAACAGAGGTGGTGAAAGGTCACTGGGCCTTATCCTAGGCGGTCCTGCAGCAGACGGGAACTGAGATTGACTTGGGCTGGTGGGGGAGAGAAGGCACCTTGTGGTGTAGTGATTAAGCACTCAGCTTCTAACCCAAAGGTTATCAGTTTGAACCCACCATCATCTCCGAGGAAAAGAGGAGGCAGTCTACTTCCTCAGAGGTTTAAATCCTGGGAAACCCTATGGGGCAGTTCTCTGTCCTAATTGGTTGCTAGGAATTGAATTAAACTCATGGATGATGGCTTTTTGTTTGGGGAGTTGTTGTTGTTAAGTGCTGTAGAGTCAGTTCTGGAATCTGCCAATCTCTCTTTCTCCTCTCCCATCTTGCCCAGAATGGTGCTGGAAGGAAACCCTGAAGTTGGGTCCCCCCGAACTTCAGACCTCCGCCACCCTGGGCACAAGGGCTCTTGTGTCCTCTCATCTGGTGAAGACGCCCAGCCCGGCCAAGAATCCATCAAGTATGGTGAACTCATCGTCCTGGGGTGAGCGTCCCTGGGCCAGGCAAGGCGGGCCATCAGGTACCCCCAGGGCAGCCAGACAAACGAAGGATCCCAGGTCTCCAGCATAGTGCCCCTTCTGTTGCCAGATCAAGAGGTCCTATTGATCCAACTCACCTCCATTCATAATTGTTATTTTACTTTCCTATGTTTCATAAGTGACTGAAATAATGACTGCCCACTCAAACTTCTGATCAAATGAGAGAGAAAATCACACCAGCTGCCTTTCATAAAGTACCTACTGTGTGTAGTGTGGGGTAAAGAACTCTGGTTCTCCAGCAAAAACGCTTGGTTCAAATCCTGCCTTTGCAAGTTGCTGAACTTCCCTGTGCCTCAGTTTCCCTGTTTGAGCAGTTAGGGATGATTTCCAAGGGCTCAGAGGGTTGTCAGAAAGAAGGAATGAAGTGATTTCTGGAAAGGACAGAGAGCAGTGCCTGACACATATCAAGGGTTCTGTGAGGCAGGCCTGTGGCAAGCCCTTTCATGGACATTATTTCATTTCAATCTTCACAAAGATGCTGTGAGAAAGGAGGTGAGGAAACCGAGGCTCAGAGAGGGGAAGTGACTGGCCCAAGGGCACACAGCTGGTAAGTGGCAGGCTGGGATTTGGACCCAGGTCTTTCTTAACTCTAGGTCTAGTGAGCCTTCATTAAGGCACAGCGGACCCTCCTGCTACAGGTGAGGAACCTGAGGCCAGGAGAGAGGAAGTGACGTGAGTTGGTGGCTGGGCAGATTTCTTTTCCCAGTCTTCGCCTAACTGCCCCAGGACTCCTGTACCAACCACTTAGCTATTCCCTGAGCTCAGACCCCTCTTCTTCCTCGCTCACCCATCATGTCTTTTAGGTCCCTCTTTGCCATCAGTCATGATGACAGTAGCTGATGAACAGTAAGCACTATCATCATGGATCATTATGGTTATGGAGAAAGAATAATGACTTCTGTTTGTGGGCCCTGGTGGCACAGTGGTTAAATGCTTGGCTGGTAACCAAAACATCAATGGTTCAAACCCACCAGCCACTCTGCCAGAGAAAGATGTAGCATTCTGCCACCGTAAAGATCCAACCCTGGAAACCACTATGTTGTTGTTATTGTTAAGTGCCGTCGAGTTGGTTTCGAACAATAGCAACCCTGTATAGGGTTTCCGAGGAGTGACTAGTGAGCTTGAACCACTGACCTTGTGGTTCAAACCAACTAGGAGTTCTATAAGTTGGAATCAACTACATGGCAATGAGTTGTTGGTTTTTTAATTACTGTTTGTGGAAGGCGCACTGATGATGCAATGGTTAAGCACTTGGCCTGTGGACTAAAAGGTTGGCAATTCAAACCCACCAGCTGCTTCCCAGAAGAGTGGATTGGACGATCTCAGTCCTAAAGATGAGAGCCTAGGAAACCCTATGGGGCAGTTCCACTCTGTCCTACTGAGCCACTGTAAGTGGGAATGGACTCGCAAGCCCCTAACAACAGCTGTTTGTTGACATGTGCCATGTGTGTTTATTCCTAATAATAATAACTAACATTTATCAAGGGCTTACTATATGTATGGCCAGACTCTGTCATGAGCATTTGAAAATGCTTTATCTCATTTCCTTCTTACAACAAACCTGATAAGCTAGCCCCGTTTTACAGAGGTCATGTGATGAGTGGAAGGAGCCCTGGTAGCACAGCAGGTTAAGGGTTGGGCTGCTAACCACAAGGTCAGTGGTTCAAACCCACCAGCTGCTCCTTAGAAGACTGTTAAGACTGTCGGCTTCCATAGACTGCCGGTCCCGTAAACCCAAAGGAGCAGTTCTCTGTCCTATAGAGCTGCTGTGAGTTGGAATCGTCTCTATGGCAGTGGGTTTGGTTTGGGTGATAAGTGGAAGAGCCAAGATTTATTTAAGCCACAGTGCCCTTGACTACCACACCTCAAGGTCCACCTCCCCACCCCCACCCCCGCACGTGTAAAAAGCTCACTAGAGGAAAATGACACTCCTCTTGGGGCTATTTATCATGGAAAGCATTCGTTAGGAGCCCCAAAGTAAGAGCTGGCTCTCCATTTGAGGGTGAGCCACTGTGGGGGAGACTGAAGACTTCGGGGTACAAACCCTTTTGATGGACATTTGGCTTCTGCAGGACAGGGGATCCCCACACTAGCGCTACATCAGACCCGCCTAGGGAGCTCATTGAAATCATACACATTTCAAGCTCCCCCCACCCCCAAACTTATAGAATCAGGGCTAGGGAATCTGTATTTTGCAACATTCTATGGAAGCTACTACTCAGAATCTTGTTTGGTTTGGGTATCTGTTCATTTTGACCATTTCTCGTCTCTAAAACCATCTGTGACTCACCATTTCCCACAGAATAAAGTCCAGAGTCCTCAGCCTGGTGGTCAGGACCAACCTTCCAGGCCTCATCTTCTGGACTACATTTCCCCGTCCATCCACTCATCACACTAAGCCCTGCCAGCCTTTGGTCCTTGGTCCAGGGTGAGCTTTCCACCTAGAAGGGCTTTTGGGAGGGAGGCCAGAGTCAGACCAACCCAAGCTGAAATCTGGACTTTTTCACTTACTAGCCTCAGACCTCAGACAAGTCAGTTGACCTCCCTGAGCCTTGATTGTCCCCATTTGTAAAATGGGAAGAAAGCTACTTGCCTCGCAGGATGTTGCACAGATTCCATTAGACCATTGATGATGTAACACCTCAGGAGGCTCCCATGCATGGCCCCCCATCTTTGCCTCTCCCAATCATTCCCTTTGGACAAGGAAAGGAAGGTGGACATTTGACATAGATGGATGTCTGGAGGGAGTGGCATCATGGAGATGTTTTTCTTTCACTTTGGTTTTCAGTAGCGCTTGTGTTGTAATCAATGAGCTTTGTGAAGATGACTCCTTTCCAGTTCTTCAGAGCCCAGTAGAAGCATCTTCTCTTCCAGAAACCTAACACTGGGTCAGAGTTCCCTGTTCTGCCTCTGGGCCTGTGGCGTAGTTGGCTTATACCTGGGTCATGCAGGTGGTGACCCAAGATCCTTGGGAAGTCAGGGATCTTTCCCCCTCCCCTTTAGGCCACAGAATGGACCTGAGCTATGGCATCTCTGCCTCCCTAGTCCCCAGCCCCCAACCCAGCATGGCTCAGGTGTCCAGGAAATTGATGTGGTTGATTAAGTGAAGAAGCTCTTTTGGAGATGTTCTGGCCCCTTTCCCTGCCCCATGTGCACAGATGTGATATTGTAGGGTCTTCTGGTTTCAGCTGGTTTCAGGGTTTGTTTATTAAAGTAGGATCTGCCCACAATTGTCCGTTTCCTCCAAGCCTTAACAAGGACTCACTTTCTCTCTGCTTCCCCCAACCCTGCCTTCTTCACTCCCACCTCTCTACAGTTACAATGGGTGTCTGGCAAGCGGGGACAAGGGCCGCCGGCGAAGTCGCCTGGCACTGAGCCGCCGGTCGCATGCCAATGGGGTGAAACCAGATGTCATGCATCACATCTCCACACCACTCGTCTCGAAGGTGAGCAGTGTCTCCCAGCAGACCTTGACCCCTGCCCTGCCCATGGACTCACAGCCCGGGTCATTAGCCCTCCGAGTCCTGGCTGCCCCCAGCCCTGTGAGAGCCGGCAGCGGTGTCACCGCCACCATTACTGAGGGGCTACCAAAGGAATGGCGATGGCCTTTACAGTCTGCAGAGTGCTTCCCCTCCCCCTACCGTGCCTTCTTGCGGAGCCTCTTGGCCACCAGCCCCTACCCACTGGGCGGAAATAATCAGCCTCATGTTAGAGGCAGCCAAGGCTCAGAGAGGGATGTGACAGTCACATAGCAATGATAAAGGAAATGCCATTGGCTTCAGAGGATCTGCTGTTTCCAGCTGTGTGGCTTTAGCTGCAGTTCAGAGAGCGGGAGTAACCTGGTCTGCTTGGCACAGTGGCTGGAGGGATGAAATCCGGTTCCCGTGTACAGCCTTTGCTGCACATTATACCACTGGGGCCTGGCTTCTGGCCCAGCGGCTCACACTTCTCATCTTGTTTCTCTACCAGGCACTGAGTAACCGGGGCCAGCACAGCATCTCCTACACACTGTCCCGGAGCCACTCAGTCATAGTGGAGTACACGCATGACAGCGACACAGACATGTTCCAGGTACGTGCAGGCCACTAGGCCACAGGGCCTCCACTGGGCTCTGCAGGTATCTGGGGCGGGACCTTAGAGAAGGTGCTTCTGGGATTTACATTGCTGCCAACGCCTATTCAAGGTCTCCCCATCAGGGCTGTGGACATCAGTCACCAAGCAAGACTCAACTCAAGACCTGACTCCCAGTCTGTGGTTGAGGGTGTGGGCTTCAGAGCCACCCTACTTGGGTCCAGATCCCAGCTCTAGCCCTTACCAACAGGGTAACTTTAGGCCAGAGTTTGGGTCTTTGGGTCTCAGTTTCCTCCTCTGTAAAATGACACCTATAATAGTGCCCAGCCTATGGAATGGTTGGGAAGATTAAATGAGATACTAGCCATAAAACATTTAATATGGGACCTGAAATACGATCAAAACTTGCAAAAATGTACTACTCACTGCTAATATTTGAGCCCTCCCAAGCCATGGAGGAAACAGTCGCAGGAGAAGGATGTCATGCTGGGTAAGGTGGAGGGTCAGAGAAAAAGAGGAAGACCCCTAACAAGATGGATTGGACAGGTGGCATCATTGATGGACTCAAGTGTAGCAGCGGTAGTGAGGTTGGCCCAGGATCGGACATTGTTTCATTCTGCTGTGCATGGGGTCGCTATGAGTCAGTTCCGACTCGATGGCACCTGACAACAACAACAGGCCATGGGTAGTGTGCCCTTATTCTGTTCTAACTGCAAATGGACTTGTGTTTATGGTGTAGGGTGCTCCCTTCTGACTTGCCCCAGACCCCATTCCCAGTGCTCACTGGCCCTGGAGGCCCCACCTGAGGACCTGAGGACCCAGGAGTTGGGGTGCACTGCTCCCTTCTGGCAGCTGCTGGGGATGCCAGATGTGTATCTCTAATCCTTGTGCTCCCCCCTCTCACAGATTGGCCGTTCCACTGAGAATATGATCGACTTTGTGGTGACAGACACATCCCCTGGAGGAGGGGCTGGAGAGGGTCCCTCTGCCCAGAGCACCATCTCCCGCTACGCTTGCCGCATCCTCTGTGACCGAAGGCCGCCTTACACTGCCCGCATCTATGCCGCTGGCTTTGATGCCTCCAGCAACATTTTTCTTGGAGTGAGTGAGCTCCCAGGCCAGGGTGGGCTGGGAGGTGAGAGCGTCCTAGGATGATGAGTAACCATAACTGCGTAGTCCTACATAACAAATAAACAAAGTGAGGCACAGAGAGGTTGGTGACTTGCCCAAGGTCATGCAGCTCCAATTCCAGTATTTTCTGGGCAGTGTAGAGGGTCCTAGAGGAAAAGCAAGCAGGCAGCTAGGGACTATGCAGGGGTGTGTGTTTGGCCCCACAGGTGGTCCTTGGCTTGGTTTATATACACTCAACTACTAACCTCAAGGTTGATGGTTCGAACCTCCCCAGTGATGCCATGGAAGAAAGTCTTGGTGATCTCCTTCAGTAAAGATTATAGCCAAGAAAACTCTACAGAGCATTGTTCTATTCTGCAACACTTAAGGTCGCCATCGATTGGAATCCACTGGATCGCGATTGATTTGGTTTGTTTGTTGTATTTTTTTGGTGGTCCCAGGAACGGGCCGCCAAATGGCGGACACCCGATGGCCTGATGGATGGTCTGACCACTAACGGGGTTCTGGTGATGCACCCAGCCGGCGGCTTCTCCGAGGACTCAGCCCCGGGTGTCTGGCGGGAGATCTCAGTCTGCGGGAATGTGTACACGCTGCGGGACAGTCGCTCAGCCCAGCAGCGGGGGAAGCTGGTAGGTGGCTTGGTCTGGCGGCTTCTAGACTGTTCTATCCCCACCCCTTCCATGCTTCCTGGCTCCTAACAGTCTGTTGTTCCCCTACCCAAGCCAGGGGATGGTCTCCAGTCCTCCTGCCCAAGGGAGCTCAGGAGTTCTTAGCATGGGTCACTTGTCCCTTGCCACAGAAGGAACCAGACCAGTGTCCCCGAGTGTAGTCACCTATCCCTGAAGTCCAGAGATGAGGGGAGACTAAGCAAATACATTCACAAGAGGCTTTGCGGATACCAGCAGTATAAAAACAGTCACACCCTCTTCTGAAGTTGACACTTGGCCTGGGTGTGAGCAGTTTATAGTCTACAGTGTTAGAAGTACGTAGTGTGTCTGTCACGTTCCTATGGGCTTATCTTCATTATCCTCTCACGGCACAAAGAGAGCCCTTGGAGTCATCGACACAGATAGTGGGGCATGGTACACACCAGAGAATGGAGTTAGGAGCTGGCAGTAAGTTCTAGAGAGGGCTGAGGGCTTGTCCGAGGTCCTGTGGCCATGTCCTCAAATGGGCCGTGTGGACAGAGTTCTTCCTAGTGTGGGGATGTGAGGCACAGGGGTGCACGTAACTCTTTCCAGAGTATCAAGTCAACTGGGCAGTTTGGGGAAACATGATTCTTAGAACATGCGCACAAACATGTCACTAGTATATACTTGTTGCTCACCATCTATGTGCCAGCAAAGTTCCTATAATTCATGTAACCTTCATGGCCATTTGGGAGACCCAGACCTGGTTGGTGTCTATCTTGAGACTGAGGGAATGAAGATGTTGTTGTTAAGTGCCGTCGAGTCGGTTCCGACCCATAGCGACTCTGAACAGGGTTTCTGAGACTGTAAATCTTTTACGGGAGCAGAATGCCTCATCTTTCTCCCCCGGAGCAGCTGGTAGTTTCGAACTGCTGACCTTGCGGTTCTTAGCCTGGTTTGTAACCATTACACTACCAGAGCTCCTGAGGGAATGAAGATACAGAGGTGACATTTCTTGACCAGGGACACAGAGACAGTGAGTGCCGGAGCCAGGATTCAAACCCAGACAGTCTGGTCCTCAAATGCTTCTAACCAGAACCCTCTGCACAGCTGCTTGATAGGCAAAATTGCATTCTGGGTAGAGGAGTTCAGCTTTGCTATTAGGGGAAAGTTTGGGGAAACATTTTAGAAAAACTCAGTTGTGATGCAAACACAGATTTGATAGATAAGGAAACCCAGGCATATGTCCTGCTGAGAGTGAGGGTCAGGGTCAGTATGTGCCTGGGGTGGGAGCACCTAGCCGCTCTCCCACGTGACTTCACAGCCCTCCCTGCACCTCTGCCCTAGCCCGCCCACCAGGGGGCGCTCTCTAGGGTGGTTCTGGGGCTGGACCCGAGACTTGGTTGGGTGAGAGCTGCCAGCAGGCAGGCAGGAGGCCCTGGGGCCTCTCGGGCAGTAAGGCCCTTTGCTGCCCCGGCAGGTGGAAAACGAGTCCAACGTGCTGCGGGACGGTTCGCTCATCGACCTGTGCGGGGCCACGCTGCTGTGGCGCACGCCAGCCGGGCTGCTGCGGGCACCCACGCTGAAGCAGCTGGAGGCCCAGCGGCAGGAGGCTAACGCAGCGCGGCCCCAATGCCCGGTGGGCCTCAGCACCCTGGCTTTCCCCAGCCCCGCCCGGGGCCGCACGGCCCCCGACAAGCAACAGCCCTGGGTCTATGTCCGCTGCGGCCACGTCCATGGTTACCACGGCTGGGGCTGTCGGCGGGAGCGGGGCCCGCAGGAGCGTGAGTGTCCACTCTGTCGCCTTGTGGGGCCCTATGTGCCGCTGTGGCTCGGCCAGGAGGCTGGCCTCTGCCTGGACCCCGGGCCACCCAGCCACGCCTTTGCACCCTGTGGCCACGTCTGCTCCGAGAAGACTGCCCGCTACTGGGCCCAGACACCACTGCCCCACGGCACCCACGCTTTCCACGCTGCCTGCCCCTTCTGTGGGGCGTGGCTGACCGGCGAGCACGGCTGCATCCGCCTCATTTTCCAGGGGCCGCTGGACTAGGCTTCCTGGGGCCTCCTGCCGCTGCGCCTGCTACCCACTAAGGGCACCCACTTGCTGCAGCCCAGAGGAGTTCTGCATGTGGGACCCGACCTGCTGGCAAACAGCTACCCTAGATGGACATGTTGGATGGGCTGTGCGCCTTCCCACTGAATGGGTCCCTGAGATCCCTACCCCAGTTACACAAATGGGGCTTGGCAACAGCTCTGCCCCAGATTCATGGAGGGTGGCCCCCCATGCCTCTGTTCTTCCTGGGGCATCCCCCCTTATGCCGCCTACACTGTGCCCCGGGGGAGTGAAGGGGCCCAGGGGCCCTTGACCCCAGTTCAGGCTGGCTACACCCTGAGCAAGCTGACCCGGTTCCAGACACTCAACCTTCCTGCCGCTGCCCTGGGTTCCTCTATAAACCGTGCTGCTCAGCTGCCCTCACAAGTCCTACGTGTCCCGCATGTGCGCAACACCTCCAGTCCCCAAGCCAGCGATGAGTGGGTGGCAGGCTGCAACCTTCCTCAAGCTGGACTCCGTGCCCAGCAGGCACTGGGGACACAGAGACAATGAGACCTGGTTCCTTACCTGGTGGAGTCTACTGCCTAGGGCAGGACAGGCCAAGTCACCAGATGCCAGTGCAGCTTTGTGTGGGCTAGAACCAGAAGTGCCAAGGGCAGGGGAGCACAGCTTGCTGCCTAGTGGGAGAGTGAGGGAGAGGAGAAAGGAGTCCAGCCTACAAGGAACCTCTAGGCCTACAAGGTTAGAAGGGTGCTTTGGGCAGAAGGAAGAGCCTACAAACGTTTGGGTGTAAGTAAGCAAGCAGAGAACTGCCCAGGAGAGACACTGAGTGGCTGGCACTTGGACTGTAGGTGGTCAGAGAGGGGGCTGGAACTAGACGTGGGTGGTGTTGCTGGGGGAAGATGCTGGATGGAAAATTCTGAACCTCATTTTGTGGACAGCCAGGAATCGACTGAGGTAGGAGGGAAGACGCCCGTTTTCAGAGCGTTGTCTGTAACACAAGGGCTGTCCTTACCGAATGCCCACCACATGCCCTGCACTGTGCTGATGATATTAACAATGACATTCATTGAGCATTCACCAGGCACGGTCTCTGCTTCTCTAAGGCTCTGTCACTTAATCCTCCATGGCACCCCCAGAAGGCAGGTGTCACCATGTCTGTTTACAGGGAAATCGGGGCAGTTGTTCCAAGTCACACGGCAAGAAAGTGGCCAAGGCAGGATTTGAATCCATGGCCGCCTTGCACAGGAGTGGGTACGCCAAGCAGGACTGTTCCAGCAAGGGGCTGGAGGATGGCTTTGTGGACACCCACATGCTCAGTTACCTGTACCCTAGGCCAGATGCAGCAGACGGATAGCCAGGTAGGAGGGGACTGAGGAGCTAGAGCTGGGGGCTAGTGAGATGGCACAGGGAGGAGCAGGGGCCTGAGCCATGTCTTGAATGGCAGGAGATGTTTCCAGAATCAGGGAGGAGTTGGGAGGGCAGCCCAGGGAAAATGCCAGTGAATGAAGAGTTGGGAGTGAAGGGACAGGGTTGGGCAGGGCTATAAACTGGAACTGTTTGTTCTGGAGAAGTGTTGTTTTTCCTCTGTAAGTCAGGGGCCAAGTTTAGGGTGTTTCTGGGGTTGTCCCGAATCATTCCCAGGGGAGCCAGCTAGGAAGACAGTAGGTGGAGCTCTAGAGGGATGAAAATCTGAGAAGAGACTCTAAGCCTGGCCCCAGTAGGCATCATCCCTGATGGAAGAGCTGCCAGAACCTCATGGGGAGTGGTGTCCGTGGGGAGGACCTGCCTAAGGTCACATGGCTGGTTGGGGGCAGTTGGGAAGAAAGGACACCAGTAGGTAGTGAGAGGAGGCAGTGTAATCAGATTCTCCAGGTCATCACTGGCCACCTCAGGAGCCCAGCTGGGGAGGCTGGGGTGGGTGTGAACGGTTCTAACAGCACACATATCCAAACACAAACAAATATACTAGGAAACCAATGCACCCAGCTGTTCTCTCTTTGGGACTCTGGCAGGGGAACATTCTGATCCCATTTCCAGTAACCCTAGGCTCTCAGGAGAGAGGTCAGGCCTCAGCTGAGGGTACCACATGGCCCCTGGGTGAACTCTGAAGTGGTGGATGAGGGGGTCACTGGCCAAGGTCTGCTTTTTCCAGCTCAGAATTTTAGCTCCTCCCACTGCTAAATGGGGATTATAGTCCCCACCTCAGAGCCTGGGAAGCACAAGCAGTTTGTTATATCTGCTACTGACTTAACGATTGGTGGTTTGAACCCATGGCTTTGTGGAAGAAAGGTTTGACGAACTGCTTGCATAAAAATTATAGCCTAGAAACCCCTATGGTGCAATCCTACTCCACCAGAGCTAACAATCCCCTTACTGTTGGTGCTGTAGAGTTAGTTGGTTGCAACCCTTAGCTATCCTGTACAGTGTTTCTGAGGAGTGACTGGTGAGTTTGAACCACTGACCTTGCAATCCAGCGCATTATCCTGCAGCACCACAGAAGGATTCTCTTACTTATTGCTGTTAAGTGGTGTCGAGTCGGTTCTGACCCATAGCAACCCTGTACAGGATTTCCGAGGAGCAGCTGGTGAGTTTGAACTGCCTACCTTGCAATTCAAACGGCTTTGCAGTCTGGTGTATTAACCCACAGCGCCACACCAGGACTCCACTCCCTTCTTGTTGTTAGGTGTCATGGAGTCGGTAGCGACTCATAGCGACCTTATTATGCACAGCAGAAGGAAACACTGCCTGACCCTGGGCCAACCTCACTACTGTTGCCACACTTGAGTCCATCAATGATGCCACTTGGCCAATCCATCTTGTTGTGTGTGTGGGGGGTGGTCTTCCTTTTTTTCTCTGACCCTCCACTTTACCAAACATGACCTCCTTCTCCAGCAACTGCTCTCTCCTGACAATATGTCTGAAGTATGAGAGACGAAGTTTGGCCATCTTGGCCTCTCAGGAACACTCTGGCTGCACCTGTAAATATGTGGAGGGCACTTGAAACAAACTGTGACCATAAAAATGCAGCTGGGTTGAAGTACATCAGAAATATTTTACCTGCCTGCCTGCACTGCCTCTTAGTGGCAGAGGAACGCACTACCATTAACTGTACACTTTTCAACTTTTAAGTACTTTTTGTTGTTAAGTGCGGTAGATTTCGTTGTGACCTCTAACGACTCTGTAGAGGGTTTCCAAAAAGCAGCTGGTGAGCTTGAACCACCAACCTTGTGGTTCAAACCGACTCTGCAGTCCAGGGCATCAGCCCACAGTACCACACTAGGATTCCGGTTATATTCGTTTTAAAGATCCTGAAAATGGTGGCACAAGAAAGAAGAGAAGTGACTTTCTTAGGACATAGCTCAATAATGACAATCATCCTAAGAGCTAAGAGTTAGTAACATTGATATGCCAAGTGTGTGCCTAGCATATCGGGCATCTTTGTAAAGGAAATTGGTTTCAGTGGGAGCAGACGCTGCCCTGGACTAAGATACAAGAGTGGCAGAATAGTGTACCAGTTTTCAGACCCTACCACCCGGCCTTTGCGCAACTCTGGAGAGCAGCGCTGCCCAATCAAACCCTCGGAATTGATACAATTGTTAGCTCTGTCTTTCCACTGCGGATGGCAAGACTCTGGAGGTGAAGCGACCCACTCAAAGTGCATCGCCAGTAACTGGTTCTACCTTTGACCCCCTTCCCACTGACGTAGTCTTCATAGTACAGGGGAGGATTACCCAATTAGCAAGGTAAACACGGGTTTACTTGTGCTTTCTTACTGATCTGTAAATTGTAAAACCGTTCATTGCAGTTTAATAAGAACAAGTAAACCCGTGTTTACCTTGCTTAGGGGGCAATCCGACACTGGCAAATTCACTCTTCCGAAGGAAACTGAGGCTCTGTGATGCCCGCCACCTCTTCCCACTCCCCCAGGCCCGTGACAAGTTAGGGGCGTTCCTTGGCACCCCTGCAGGGCGGGATCATCTCAGCCTGGGTCTGGGCTCACTCGCCTGTACACTCCATTCCCTGCACACGGCGTCTGGCAGCCTCCGAAGTCTCCACCCCAGTTCCCCGAAGCGGGCGAGGTGTGGGAAACACAATACTCCCATTATGTAGGTTGCTAAACTGAGGTCAGAGAATTCTCCAAGGAAAGCGGGGTCAGAGTTGTGAATGGGAGTGTCTTCGGTGCTCCGTCTGATACCCCCACGGGCCACTTCCAGGCCAAGGGGAATCAGTTGGGTCGGCCGGGATCAGGCCTTGCCTGGGAGTCTCTCGGTGGCTCCAGCCCCGCGCGGCCTGTGGACAAAGGCCAATCCGCGCGCGACCTGGCGGCACCGCAGAGACAGGAAGACGGTGCGGCCATTGGCTGGAGCCTACGCCCATCGAGGCCCAGAGGCCCGGCCATTGGCGGGAGACGACAGGGCTCAAGGAGCCCCAATGAATGGGGAGGCCGGAAGCAGGAAGTGAGTTTGCGAATCGAGCAGCTGCAGCAGGTGAGGCTCGGCGCCCGTATTTTGGGGTCAGAGTGTCGTCCTCGGAGGACGAGGGGTGAGCCTGGACGGAGCGCAGGACTGTTTCCTTTCTGCTGTCCTCAGGACCCATTCCAAATTGGTCGCGGCTCCGAGGCCAAGGAAATCCCTGGGCAGCAAAGGGTTAACGCCCCCTTTCAGAATTCCGCGGATTGTCCTGTTGGGGCGGAGCCCGGGTAAGGGGGTGGAGCTTGAAACTCTTACTCTGCAAAGGGGAGAAGAGGTGGAGGGTGCCCTGCGTTAGGACACCCCGGCGAGCTCGGGGTTGTGTGACCTTCGGTAAGTTACTTGACCTATCTACCCTCAGTTTCCCTATCTATAAAATGGGTTTTCTTCCGGCTCTGAACTCCTGTGGCTCTCTGGCTCACCTGGCTGAACACAAGGAGAGGGCAGGACACTTTGGAAGGACCAAAGACAAGAGAAACATCTGTGGGCTGAATGCTGGGATCCGGGAGGGAGGAAGAGTCCCAGAGGAATCACTAGTTAATCTAGGTACACTCTGACAGTATGACCTCGTTGATCTGCTCACCACGTGGTTTTTATCATCTCCATTTTATAGAGCAGGAAACTGAGGTGCACAAGATTGAAGCCTGACTTAATAGGAGTGTGGGGTTGAACCAGAACTGGAGTCTGAGGCTTCCAGCTGGCAGCTGGGACGCTATCCTTGTGACCACTGTGGGGCCGGGAGGGGTGTTGAAGAAACTTAAGGAAAATTTTGGACCAGGAGACCATAAAGTCAGAGAAGGGGCAGGGGAGTCAAAGGCTCTTCCCAATGTGGGGTAAGGCAAGACTCCTAACTCTCTGGGCCTCAGTTTCCTCATTTTTAATACTTTTTTTTTTTTTCTTCTTTTTTAAGTGTCATCAAATCTATTCCAACTCATAAGCAACTTATATAGGG